AAGGACAAGCGGCTGGAGAAGATGGTCAATGGTTGCCAGACAAAAGCCATCCTGGACTACCTGCGGGCTGGGGGCCGCGGGAAGGGAAAGGCTGAGAGCACCAGAGAGGAGGCCAGGAAGAAGAAGAGGGAGAAGCAGCAGAAGAAGGACAGTGGGGATGGGGAGCAGGATGAGGTGGAAGAGGCGAGCAAGCTGCTGGTGAAGGTTCTGCACGTCTCCGAAAACCCGGCACCCTTGGTGGTCAAAGTGAGCCCGGGTATCAAAGATGTTCGACCCTTCATCGTGTGCTGCGTGCTGAAAGGAGTGAACTTAAAGCCAGGAAATGCTCTGAAGAGGTTCCTGTCCGCACAGGTAACCACTGCGGTCTTCTGTTACGGGAGCGTTGGTAGCAGAGTTGGAAGGAGACTGTTCCAGACTCCTTCCAGCAGATGAGTTTCTGAAGCTTAGGGTGAGCTATTCACCTGTGAGCTGGTGAGGTGCAGCAGGGCTGCTGCCCAGTCACTCTGGAATAAGCAGAACTGGTTTTCCTGAGGAACACAACAGGAGCTCAGGTGTTCCCATGAGAGGGCAATGAGCGTGCACACGATTGCGTTTGCTCTGTCACAACAGCTCCTTGGTGCTGTGGAACCTGTTGAGAGCTAATAATGAACCACATCCACATTAGAAGTGCCTTGGTTTGGCTCCAGGTTCCCTGATGTGTGCTGAAACCAGGAGGTATGGTAACCACAACCTGGCACCCCTGGCTTCTGGCCTGCGCAGCCATTAGATGGCAGGGGTTAGCTGCTTTCAGGTTACAGGACTGTGTTTGTGATTGTTTTCTGATTTAAAACCATTTGTTTTCCTAGTTGAGAAATGTGTCGTGTGTTACACTCACTATCTGCACGCTCGGATGGCAGTTCAGGGAAAATACTATGCAGGAAGGCTCTATTTAATGCAGAAATGTTACTTGAGTAGCTACAAGCATTAAATACAGAAGAATCTGAGAAGAGTAGTTCTGAGGAATAAATCACGTGGATGTTTTTGGTCTGCTTTGATGGCGTGCTTTCTGTTTTAGACTAAACTGCATGAAGACATCTGTGAAAAGCGGACAGTGGCCACCATTGCCACCCATGACCTGCAGCTGATCAAAGCTCCTCTGATGTATGATGTTCAGCCTCCTGACACACTGAAGGTAGGGCCAGTGGCATCCATGGGCCTCTCCACTTGTTTCTCTTCTGTCTTCTGGAACTGTATAGAATGGAATTAGTACAAACAAGGGGTTTTCCAGTGGGTGTTGTAGCTCACACAAAGGTTTAAATTCAGTTATTGCCTTGCTTGCGGAGTTCTGATAACACCCATGTTTGAGTGGCTCTTTATTCAGGTGTTTGTTCTGTGCTGTGTAGATAACACCCCTGGGTCGAAAGGAGATCAAGGCAAAGGATCTTCTCCGCCAGCTGCAGTTAGAAGCTGAGGAGCAGAGGAAGCAGAAGAAGCGTCAGAATGTCTCTGGACTGCACAGGTAAGTAGATGACATCCTGTGACTTTTCATGTATCTCCATGATACAGTTTCACTGAATTTTCCTGTTCTGACTCTTTTTTTTTGCTCCATGGTGGGCCAGGAACACCCCAGTTTGGTGTTGTCACACTCTTGTGCCACTGCATCCTGCTGCTGGTTCAGTTACTCACTCTTTGCTGCTTTGTTTTTCCTGGCAGGTATCTCCAGTTACTGGATGGCAAAGACAACTACCCATGTCTGGTGGATGCTGAGGGCGTCGTGATTTCTTTCCCACCCATAACCAACAGCGAGAAGACAAAGGTACTCTGTTAGTGGAAATGTGTTAAGCAGAATTAAACAGTGAGGGGGTTTTCCACTGCGAGTGAGCTCCACATTCAGAGATGTGCACAGAAAGCTGTGGTTGCATTCCAAATACAAACCTCCAGACTTGAATCTTGTCTGCTGGTGGTCAGATTGAGCTGGACCTGGGAGTGGCATTTTCACCTTTGCCAATCTGGCAAGCTCTGGCCAGAGCTCTGTTCCAAGGGCACCACCTGCCTTTGCAGAGATGGCTTTGTTGAAGGGCAGGAGTATGGTTTTTGACTTATAAAGCAAGGCAGCACTTCGCGTCCAGTTGCATTGAATGAACATCTTCTGTTCAGTTTGTGCATGAAGTGGTGTCAAGTGGCTGTGGGGGAGTGTGCTCCGATCCTCACTTGCTTTACCTGTGAAATTCTTACAGATCAGGAAAGACACCCGTGATCTATTCCTGGAGGTGACAAGTGATACCAGTTTACAGATATGCAAAGATGTCATGGACACACTAATTCTGGTAGGTAGCTCAGGAAAATAATCCTGTCTGTTCTCAGCAAAATGTGTGCTGCCCACGTGAATTGAGAAGAACACAGAAGTTGATGTTTAGTTCAGGACTAGTAATTCTTCCCTCTCCTTCACTTCCTCTTGCATCCTTGCTTCCGTCCTTGCATCCTCTGTGCCCATATTGCAAAAAGTTGTTATATTGTCATATCTTGATTACCTGGCAGGCCTGAGAACTCACCCGGGTAAATAACATTGCAATAGCACGATTAGAAATGTACGGTTTGTCTTCGAACACCTTCCCTTCTTAGTGCTCTTACGGCTTCAAGTGCTGCCAATAGATTCTTTAGGGGAGGTTTCTCACCTCAGCCTGCCTCAGCCTGTCAAATTAGCTTTCTTGGTCCTACTGTGATTGCAGGGTGATCTTTCAGGTACTGTTTTAGCAGCAGAACAGTCCCATTAAGTACCTGCCCACAGCAGGCTCTTGGTGCTTAGGATCCAGTGCTTTGAAAAGCCTGAGCTCTGTCTTAGCTGTTCAGAGGAGTGGAGCCTCCTGGAGAACACAGCAGTGTTCTTCATCAGAAGCCCATTCAGTTTCCTGGAAGATTCTCACCCACTGAAGAGCTTTTCCATGCAGATACTCCTCCAGAGGCTGGCAAGATCCACACCTTGGAATCAACCTGGAGCTGCCGTCAGGCCTCGGCCGCAGAATTAATCTTGTTTTCTGTATTTTGCTTTTAACAGAAAATTGCAGAACTGAACAGATCTGCCTTGGAAAACAAGGAAGACTCAGGCTCGGATAATGAATCTGATGCTCTTTGTGGACCAGCAGCTTTGAACCCCAGCCAAAACACTCAGCCGATGGTTGTGGAGCAGGTTCGAGTGGTGGACACAGATGGAAACTTGAAAGTACTTTATCCTTCAAAAACTGACCTAAGCACAGTTTCTTCTCTCCTGACTGTAATACGTTAGCAGCTGTCACAGTTCACGAGATGATTCTATTTCCTTTCTTTTTTTTTACCATATTCAGCAGTGCAGCTTGTATGCAGTGAGGTGGTTTGGGTTTCTAAGGACAAGATGCAGTACATCCTGCCTGGGTAGGTAAAAGCTACTATGAAGTTTGATAGGCTGTGGCAAGCAGGGTTGTGTTCCTTCAGCCTTAACAGAAAGCCATCAGTGTTCTGACTAGGTCAGGAGAACTGAGAGGCAGAGGTGGTGCTGGAAGTCAGAACATGCTCACTTGTAGAGAAAACCATCATGTCAGCCTCTGTAACATGAGTGCAGTCATGTTCTGCTGCTGGATCTCTTTCTTCCTGGTGTGTTTCAGCTGGATTATTATTTTGTCAGCTAAACTGAGAGCTCAGTAGGTGACAGCATTGAAACAAAGCCACGTGCTGCACGCCAGTACTGAGGATGGAATGCCAAACAACTTCACTAACACCTCATTCAGCGTGATTTTCTATCTGGAGTAATTGTGACAATGTAATTGCTGTCAGAACTCAAGGAGTGTGTTTTAAAGTGATGGTTTCTGTCTTCAGACATTAACACAGCTTCCATTTCTAAGCCAAGTCAGTTGAATTGACTGCAGGGGTTTGTGTGTCCCAGTGCATTGTAGAGCCATCACACATCCTTGTGGAAGCACCAGTTGTAGCGACCCTGTTGTGTAACCACTGAGTTACTGTTGATGGAGCATGAAGTTCATTCTCGCTTGTGAAGTTCATGTCCACTCAGAGGGCTGATGCTGCTTAATGTTGACACTACTAAAGCTTTTTGTCTCCCTAGAGTACAAGCACTCGTGCCCAGAGTGTTTTCTCTCACACTTCCATGTGAGGAGTGTTGGCATACAGGTAGTTGGAGTGATTCTGTGGGTGACAACTACATCCGGGCAACCACCTGTATGAGTTCAAACCTCTCCATAAGCTATGGTGACCTACAGATGGAGTTTTGTCCTGTTAAAAGTGATGCAGAGCTCTAACTGGTGTGTCAAATACATCCACGTGTTGGGACTTGCGTATGAGTGGGAAAATAAAATGTTTCTTGCAGTCGTATCTCACTGTCGTGTTTGGACACTGATGAATTTTGGCACTGGTGAGTTTTCCAGTCGTGTAACTATACAACCTGGCCCCAGTATCTATTGAACACTGCAAAAACAAGAACTTGGTGCTTTCTAGCTACCTGTAGCCAAGCAGTCAGTAGTAGTGCTTTGAGCTTCCCTGTGAAGTTGAGTGTTTCTACACACCAGTGGTTTGCAGTGATTTGTGCTGTGAGTCAGTTGAAACAACTGAATGAGAGATTCCTGCAGAACTTGGTGTCAGTAACATGAGTTTAATTTGTTAGTTCATCAGTCTCAAACCCAGGGAAGAGGAGCGTGAAGTTGGTGATGTGTTCTGTTCAGCCATCAGGGCTACTTTTCAGGCGTTAGATGCTGCTGCCTTGCACTA